AGTGTTCAAGCGTCTTCACTTCCTCTCCACTAAGAACCTTTTGATATCATTATACTTCGCCACAGGAGTCATTTTTTTCCCAGCCATTATCGCCTCCTCTCTGGGACGGCCCAAAAGACGCCGCTACAAGAAGGCCAAACCTGCCCCCATTTACCCTCGAGGACTTCCATTCTGTGATGAATTTCTACCGCGCTATTCACACCTCTTCCAGGCATTCTTGGAGCCGTTTAACCAAAGAATCCGACTACAAACTTGAAATATTTGACTATAAACTGTCGATAGGGCGTCGGGCGCGGCGTGAATGACTTCTGAAGTGGCCTGAGACCGACCATCACTCGCAGGCATTCAAAGCAAATTAAGCGTGCGGGACCTTCACCAAGTCGCCGAGAAGTTGGTGGTGCCCCTCAACCTTCGTTCACCAGCAGTCCTCACCCGCTCACTCACCCCAGTTTTCCTTTACAACTCACGTTCCTTTCCACTTCGCTATCCACAAAAATATATAACTTTATTTTCCTCTCTCCTCGCTGAAAGAAAAATAACTAAAATTATATACAAGAAGAACGATAACATTCTTTGATATTAAACACACTTACGGTACAGAACGTCCCCGGCCGTGAACGCTAAAAGAAACAGATTGAACGCCAGTGAGACACATTTCCTTGAACAATACTGAGCGTTTCACAGCTTCATCAGCCGACCATTATTAACTTATTGATAAGTATTCGAGATATTTCCTTTGAACCAGTGACCTAAACCTGACAAGTTTGTCCCCGGGACCAGCTAGGGTTGTGGTGAAGGGCCTGACGACTCCACCACGGCGGCCTCTCCTCTATCATCACTGGCTAGGCAGATGTGTTCTAGCTCTGTTAGGTTTCAGACTAACTTAACCATTCAAACTGGCCTTCATTCCTAGTTGGTCTTAGTCCTAATGGCTCCCAGTCATTATGGTCTCTGGGACTTATTTAGGTTGAGGCCCATTAGGACTAAGACCTACTAGGATTGGGGCCTATTAGAACTTGGACCCATTAGAAGTGAGGGCCCATTAGGTTTAAGGATCATTATAACCGGTACCAATTAGAAATGAAGACTATAAGGAATGTGGGACGTTAAGATGAAGGGCTATTACGACTGAGTCCCATTAGAAAATTAGGCCCATTATTCTCTCTCTTAACTGGAAGTCATAATGGAGTCTCAGCGCATAGTTGCAATGTCATTTCGGGGTCACTTAACTCTGAACCGTAGATTAAGTGAACCAGTTATATACCTCCGTTCATCTCTGGTTAAGGAAACATGTTACAGACGAGTCTTGGAGAGAGTGGGCTGTGCATGTTAGTGTGGATAATGTTCTGTTTATGTCCGCCTCTGTAGTGTTGATGCTTGGCGGTACTGACTAACTTTACGGATTGTTTGACTGGATCTGGTTAATTTATTGACTGTATCTGGCTAGTTTACTGACTGATCTTGCTAACTTACTGACTGTATTACTGACTTGATCTGGATAATTTATTGACTGATCTGGTTAATTTATTGACTGGATCTACCTAATTTACTGACTGGATCTGGCAAACTTATTGAGTGGTTCTGTCGCCCGCGTGTGTGTGTGTAAGTCACAGTAAATAAGGATAATCCTCCATTACAGGCACCTGGTGTGTGTGTGTGTGTCAGCTGGGGGTAAGTGTTGGGTTTGGTCGCCGTACCTTTGTGGAAATTAGTTCTGTGGTGTAACCTGATGTCTCGCTCAACAACTCATTATATGAACATAAATTAGTTTGAGTAAAGTTAGGTTACGACGTTAATAACTCATGGTGTGTTCTATATGATCACCCTACACAAAGACCATTCTCCTCTCTCGAAAAACAGTTAATATACCTATTTAATTAGCTCCCCCCCATACATATAATTATAGTGAAGGACCGGACGTGATAATTGACGTCCATCTCAGGCCCTGGGGGTGACGTCACACTTCTAAATACGTCACTGATGATCACAATTGCTTTCCAAAATAACAGCGAGGTGTAGGGGTGTGCACACGTCAAGCATAATCGATGTTTACTGCTTGAGACTGTCATGCCGCCGGCTTGAGTCAGTATTGTTAAGGGTGCTGGTCTACTTGTGGGAGACTGTAAGCTTGATGATTCTTAATGATTTTTAGCTTGAATCATGAAAATTTTGAATCGTGAATTTTGGTTATTATTTTGGCTTAAATGTTGTATTTAGAATCTTGTGATTCTTGTGGATTCTTGAGTGATTATTTTGTTTAAATCTTGAATCTTGTAACTCTAATCTTCTGAGTCCAGATTCTTGTTAACTCTCGAGTCTTCTGATTCTTGACTGAATCTTTGTAAACTGGTCACTTCCCGTGTTACACTCAGAGGGTCGCTACCATGTGGTCCAACTATTCGTCTCATCGCTGCCACTTAAATGTACAGTACAAAATGTCACTAAAATATTGTTAATTTATTGCTAGGTCAGTGTCGTGTAAGTGTTGTGTACTCGCCTTTAAGTGGTATATATTCTCTTGAAACACAGTGTTGAGTGTTTTGCTTTATTTATGGAAACACTTTACTATATGTATTGATGTAGAGTATACATTTATTTACAGTAAAGAGTAAGGTAGGTAGTGTAACTGTTGTAGTGAAGATGACCCTAGCGATAACTTCATTCACATCAATATCTCACATGACGAGGCAGGCATAAGGTTCCCACGCTCAGGACAAATTTCCCAGCAATATGCACACACCGAATATCACTTGTCAGTCTAACGAGGGAAGGTGAGATTAAATTACCTTGTTAACCCGTGTCCCTGTTGTTAAGGGCGAGCTCGTCGTTTATTAATGCGGCAATAGCTCATATGGTGGTATTAATTATTACTATGACACGCGGGAAGGTTGAATTAGCCTGGGGACGAATTCTCCTTATTTCTGTTTTATATTATTGATTTATTTATTTTTTATTCCATTGTTTATAGTTTTTACGTATTTATATGTAATTAAATTTTGTATTACTCAAAGAACTCAGTTGTGTGGGGGGGGGAGGGAGGGAGAGAGGAAGAAAAAGAATGGGAGAGGAGAAAAGAAGATAGATAGAGGGAAAGAGACTTGAGATGGATAAGAAGAGAGAGATTCAAGAGAGAGAGGAAGAGGGAGAGAGAGAGAGAGTTTCCGTTTGGCCTCACACAAATCTGTAACATGATATCGTGTGAAATGGAAAAGAGGAGAATTTTAATGGGAGAGGGAGGGAAGGATGGGAAAGAGGGAGGGAGAGAAGGGAGTGAATGTAAGATTATACTTTCATTGAGGCCACGTGGATTTAATTGAGGTGTGGACGTAAGGGCGACTTCCCCCAATTAATTATGACTCTAGGGTGAATTATCTGATTAATTGTGACTTAAGGGACATTTTCCTTTACTAATTATAACACAAGGCGTAAAGAGGCAGTTCTATCTCTCAGTTGTTTTATTATTGGTGAGTGTTGTGGGGTGCACCTAAGAGTACTCCAAGAACACCCCCCAGAGGCCCCAGAACACCCCCCAGAGGCCCCAGAACACCCCAGTGTCCAGTCCATCCTCAAAACACACTACGTTGAACACTCTGATCCCTCACGCACGCTCACACACCTCACCTACACCCACATTTTCATTATAGGAAATATTTCTATCTTTTCAGGGGAAGTATTTCATCAATTATCATATTCAAACTCGAGGACTTGAAAAGTGATTTTTTTAATTTTCAGATTCACATGTGTTAATAATTCCTTAAACACTCTTGGCGATGTAGGTTTTATTTTATTTATATTTTTTTTACTGTGATTAGCCCACCAGGGCACAGGTCAATGACCTGTATCAGGGCTTGGGGGCGAAAACATAATAATAATAATAATAATAATAATAATAATAATAATAATAACCCCTAAATAAATACAAAAAAGATCATTAATGAGAAACGTCATATGTATGTTGTGTTGTTAAAGTAAGAGAAACAATTGAGACCCTGCAGTTGTGAGTAAATGAGGCAGAAAGTCAGATCATCAACCTGGGACTTGGTCACATATGGCAGCAGGGTCTACCATTAGACAACACATTATGCCTCCAATATCTTCCCAGGCGGTAGTGTCTCCCTGTTTGGTAGCTGCCTACTACCTGCTGCTGAGTGAGGTTATGATATTAAGACAAATTTACTTATATTTTCATATATATATTTGTTTCATATTATTATTTTAAGATGATTTACCATACATTGAAAAGCAACGTTCACCAATCACATGACTTAAAACTTGGTGAGATGTTCCCATGTGTATTCAGAATTTTTACCACAGCTATTTATTGATTGCAGTTATAATACTATTTATTGTCTAAAAGTACACCTGACTGTGTTATTGATGGTACTCTTTAGTTATTTAATGTCCAGGTAAATTGAGAGAGAGAGAGAGAGAGAGAGAGAGAGAGAGAGAGAGTTTACAATAAGGGGAAATGCTTAAATACGTGATAATAAATTAATATTTATTGATGAAAATACATGTAAATTCTCCTGGTGGTCTTGTGTCTGATGGTGACAATGAGGTCCTGAGGAAGGGGAGGGCGTGAGTGCTGGGCAGGATGAGTACGCATGGCTGTTCATGGGGGTCCAGGCGCGTGGATCCAGGGGCAAGGCGTGGGGTATCTTAAGTCACCGGGTCAGGAACGAGGGGTGTCGTTCTTTCACTCCACATCCTGAAGAAGTGAAGAAAAAAATCATAAGTAAGGTGTTCTAGAGATGCATGATAATAACATTCCTGGTCACGTTAATGAACAAATTTAAGAATATACTTGTGACTAAAAATATTTCTTAACACAAGGCGTATTTAATATCTCAGATCCTTAACTTGACTTGACATTATAAGTAGAAGTGAAAACAAACTCACCATTTACTGAGTCCACGAAGAGCTAATCACAGGGCAGGTAGACCGGGAGAGACCAACTTAGAGCAGGATTTTCTTTCGTAGTGTGTGTGTTGTTGTTATTTTCATCTGAAGAAGGGGATCAAGGGCTGCTGAAGGTGCAGTGTGGGGATGTGGCCACCCAGGGGCAGGAGGCCGCCGTAGGCTGGGTACACGGGTCGTGTTAAACGCTCAATCTCCGCCTCCTTCAGTCTCTTGTCTTTAGCTCGACGGTTCTGGAACCAGATCTTGACCTGCGTCTCCGTCAGGTTGAGGGAGGCGGAGAACTCGGCCCGCTCGGCGATACTCAGGTACTGCTTCTCCCGGTACTTCTTCTCGAGGGCGAGGAGCTGCTCCGAAGTGAAGGGCGTGCGGGGCTTCCTGTTGGGCTTGTGACGACGCAGGACTGGCCCGTGTAACTTAGGGGCGTTTGGGTGAGATACGCCGACGTAGGGGAGAAAGCGGTGTGGGTGGTGGTAAATGGGTGGAGGTGCTGGGCGATGAACAGGCGACGTCCAGGATTGTTGTTGTGAGCTGAGGTTTCCGCCAGAGCCCTTTGGGCCCTCTAAACTGTGGCTGACGTCTGAATTGTTGCTAATATCTGAACTGTGGCTGACTTCCGAAGTTTTACTGACATCTGAGCTGTGGCTGACCTCTGAACTCACACTAGAGGCGCTGCTGCAGGGGCTAGGTCGCGGGGGTGTCGTGGTGGTAAGCCCCAAGATGGTGTCGATCCCGAAGGAAAGTTTAGGTTTATCTACGGCAGTGTTCTCCATGGTGAAGGTGCGAGACTGAACAGTACCACACTACTGCTGGAATTATGTGCACTCGGGTCAACGGCCCTTTATATACACGGGGGCTAGTCAGGTTAACCCAGGTCAGAGGCGGAGCAAAGAATGAAACAGCCAATCAGGTTCAGTCTCTCATCTCTCCACCAATAGTAAAAGAGATGTTGATTCTGGAACGAGTTACCATCTGGACAATTTTCTGTAAACTCATAAAACTTACAAAAGGCAGATAGTGAAAACTCATTATGATTATTGTCTGTCTGGAATTAGTAATAAATTCCAAGGCTTTAATTTTAGAAAGAGAAAAATGCAGGTAATTCTGGATAATGACGGTGATAATGCTTGAACTTTAGGTTAAAATAATAATCTTCAGGACTGTGTCAACTGTGAATACGTTGAGAATATATATATATATATATATATATATATATATATATATATATATATATATATATATATATATATATAATGTGAGTGCGTGTGTGTAATCCAATTTTTTTTATTACCGGGAGTTGTGTACAGATGTTACTATAGTATACGGTCTACCGAGCTGGGGTAGGTCTACCGGGATATTTACACTGTAGCGTCTATTAACATAACCTAGGTTAGGTTAATGGACGCTACAGTGTAAATATCCCGGTAGACCAACTCCAGCTCGGTAGACCGTATACTGTAGTAGCAACTGTGTATATTTATATGGTAGAGGAAGTACTGGTGTGTTAACAGCCCAGTGGTCGCCTTTACCGACTGACCGACAGTGTGTTTTTTCCTCTTGAGGGAGTGTTATACATAACACTCCCTCAAGAGGGAGTGTCACTAACGCTGTTTTTATTTATTATTAGTCAGCCTTTGTTTGAGAGATTATTAACCATGCAGTGATGCCACAAGATAATATGAGATATTGTTAGACACAGTGAGCGGCAGCTGTTGTGTTAGATCACCAAAACACCTTAAAAGATTTGTTCTTATCTAATAAACCATGAGAAGATCTCCCATAATATCATGGAGGCCGTCAGTCGTGGTCACCTGACCCGGATACCTGTCTTAGTGAGCAATTAAGGGACCTCCCGTCACCTGATGAGCCACGCTGACCCTAAATGACGTCTGTCAGGCGACGTGAGGTCAAAGGTGATGACACACAGTACTGTACATTCACTCTTGACAGGGTCACTACAAATGATCGTCCTTATTTCAATTATTTATTATAAAAAATATCCTTTATATTTCACTATTTGCCCCTTTGTGGCTCTACCAACATCGAAATGAGAATCTTTTTCTCTCCACACATTGTCCAGCATATCGACGTTAACTTTAAGAACAGCGTTTTGGATCCTGTTCTTCAACTGTCCACAGATGTTGGAACAAACACTTCATATTTAACGTAGACCCAAAATAAAATGTCAAGGAGAGTGAGGTCAGGTGAACGAGGTCGCCAATTAACCCCCTGCCCGCGCCCTATCCAGCTGTTAGGTAATGGTATATTTAGGTTGTATAATCAAAGACAAATATCGTGTCGCGGTTATGTCTAAAGATTAAATATAACCCGTGAAACATTATGAAAGCCCCCTACCATAAGACAGAGACCACCAAAAGTTTATCCCTTTGGCATATATTTTCACCAAATTTCACGACACGAGGTTTGTCTTTCACTGTACATGATGAAAAAATCATAGATTGACCCCCCCCCCAAAAAAAGACTGCCTTGCAATTGTGTATGTTACTTTTTGCTCTACCATTGTTAGTTTCGTTATAATAAATGTTTGTAATTAGGAAGATCATTTGTAGTTACCTGAACAGTATCACATACACGGACTCTCAACGTGATTATTTGTTTCTTCTTTCTGTTAATAAATGATCTGTTCACAGACAGACAGACAGAGCCGAAGTTATGTGTGAGTCACTTTATCCTTGCTAATGTCAGCCGCTGTCAGCATTCTTGATGTCGAGGGAACTGGCCGTCAGACGCTGGTGACCTGGCTTTACCAAACAGAGGGTGGTGAGGGGTCAACCCGCTAGCTGTGATGGTCACGACGGGTTAAGTCCTCAGGTGACTGGTTGATTGGACCATCCCCATTACTGTAGACCCCAGTTCAGCCCCTGTACTGTAGACTCCAGTCCAGCCCCTGTACTGTAGACCCCAGTCCAGCCCTGTACTGTAGACCCCAGTCCAGCCCCTGTACTGTAGACCCCAGCCCAACCCCTGTACTGTATACCCCAGCCCAGCCCCTGTATTGTAGACCCCAGTCCCGCCCCTGTACTGTAGGACCCAGTCCCGCCCCTGTACTGTAGGTCCCAGTCCGTCCCTTGTACTGTAGGTCCCAGTCCAGCCCCTGTACTGTAGGTCCCAGTCCAGTCCCTGTACTGTAGGTCCCAGTCCAGCCCCTGTACTGTAGGTCCCAGTCCAGTCCCTGTACTGTAGGTCCCAGTCCAGCCCCTGTACTGTAGACCCCAGCCCTGCCCCTGTACTGTATATCCGAGCAGGATAGGACTCGTAGCAACGGATTTAAGTTGGATAAGTTTAGGTTTAGGAGGGAGATAGGAAGGAACTGGTTCACAAATAGGGTGGTAGACGAGTGGAACAAGCTAAGCAACTTTGTAGTAAGTGCTGGAACGCTGGAAAGTTTCAAAAGGAGGCTGGATAGATTCATGGATGATAGAGAGTGGTAGTAACTCTCGACAGGAGCTGCCATGCACAGGCCAACCGGCCTATTGTAGACTCCTTATGTTCTTATGGTCAGTTCCAATGGTTAGAATAAGTTACTTTGGATTTAGTTGAGGCTTATTGAGACTGAAGGTTTTATGACTGAGGCCTATATGACCGGCAGTAAGTCAGGGACAGCTTAAGTCGTCACACATAAACCAGAATGGAGTTAAATATATTTTACCACAGTGTTCCCTCAAACCACATTCTAGATAATTTTATACAACTTTTACTTTAAAAAAAATATATATTATAAATGACTATTTTTGGTGCTACTATAGTATGAGGTCTACTGGGCTGGAGTTGGTCTACCGGGATATTTGAACTGTAGCGTCTATTAACCTAACCTAACCTCACACACACACACACACACACACACAAGTAATATTTTAATCTCTTCCTCTGACAACACCTCATAATCACCGTAACCAATGGGGATATTTCTTAAGTCTCAAATGCGGTCCCGAGAGGCGGGGGGGGACGCTGGGGTTAGGAGAGAGAGAGATCTGAACCAGACAGCTCTATGAATGTCAGCCTCAACTGAATATTTTGACCAGTCCGCACAGACCTCCAGCTTATGATTAATCCCTGGATATTGTTGTGGTAGGAGAGGGAGGTGGGGGGTGGGGTAGGAGGGGGAGTGGATATGTATGATGACAAGTGGGAGAGAGGTGTGGGGAGGATTTGTATGGTAGGGGTGGGGAGGTGTGGTAGGCTGGAGGCGGTGAGGGAGGGATAGTGTGTGGGGGTGGACTGTGTGGGGGTGTGAGGGAGGGGTGGAGTGTGTGGGGGTGAGGGAGGGTGGTGTGTGGGTGAGGGAGGGGTGGAGTGTGTGGGGGTGAGTGAGGGGTAGGGTGAGGGAGGGTCAGCCTTAGAGAGAGTTGTGACAGGTAATGATGACCGCGAAAACTGGATTATGATGAGCTCTTAATGACCTGCCTAGTACCGGTGTGTGTGTGTGTGTGTGAGGTTATTTTTGTGTGTTAGATTGCACACACACACACACTACCTAACTCCCTCGCGTCTACATAGACAACAAACTAAATTGGAAACCACACGTCAGTGAAGTTGTCCAAATCCTCCAGTTTCCGTCGCCACCTCCTCATAGAAACTCCTAGTCCCTCGGAGTTCCTGCGAAGCTCCTCAGTGTTTGCACAACATTCATACTTCCCAGCTCACCTATGCCTCCCCACCTGAATCTTCTCCTAAATGCCACCTAACGTAAACACCTAAGAAAAAAGTGCAAAAGAGGCATGCAAGATTATTCTCTCCCTTCCTCTCCACATATCAAGAAGCGCTCAACACACACAGCCCTTTCATTTCTCACTGACCATCACCACGACCTCATCTGGAAATTTGGTAGAAGCTTCTACACCATCCTCGACACCGGCTCCTACTACCACCTAAGATCTCTGGCCGAGAATTGCTGTTCGACACCACAACCGCATCCAGCCCATACGTGCACGAACTGATCGCTATAAGAACAGCCCAGTCCCAACCATTGTAAAAATTATCAATAACTTGTAATAAATCAGTGTATTCACTCCCAGTAAACACTACTCCTTCCACTGTCACTATGTTGAAATGAACTGTAGTTTGAGCTTTTCCCCATCTAGTTATTATATATCTTATTTGTGTCACTTATGTTACTTGTATATTATTTGTAATTCGAAACCCATTCCCCAAATATGTAACTGTATATTTTCAGCCTCTGGTTGCCAAGCTCTTTCAATAAACCGTTAATTATTATTATTATTATTATTATTATTATTATTATTATTATTATTATTATTATTATTATTATTATTATTATTATTATTACACACACCACCCAGGTTCACTCCATATAGTTCTTTAAAATTTCCGAATAGTTCTACAGAATTTCAAACAAATTCTAAAAAAAAAAAATTATTGATTGTGTGGTGATGGTGAGTTTAATGGTGGTAATGGTGAGGTTGTGATGGTGATGGTGAGTTGTGGTGGTAGAATTGTGGTGGTGATGGTGAGTTGTGATGGTGATGGTAGGGAACAGTCCGGGTCTTTCACTTCACCTCAATCCCACAAATCGTATAATCCCACGCGGTGTCCGTCCGTCTGTCTGTCTGTGGGCGGGGAAGAATGGGCAGGTGGGCGCGTAGGTCAGTGGAGGAAGGGTGTGGGATGGGCGGGGAAGGGTGCTGGAGGAGTGAGGGGGAGGGTATGGGAGTGGTGGGAGGGATTAACCTTCTTCTGACCTCGATTAAGTTCAAGGATAGAGAGAGAGAGAGAGAGAGAGAGAGATCAGCAT